ACAAGTCCCTACAAATCTTTTCCCATCATTCAAATTCACCGCAATCACACAATCAATTACGTCAAAATAGGGTTTCCATAACATTCAACTACTCGGGTTACTATAAATGAAACAACAACTTGCCGGAGCAACTCGTAATAAGCGATAATACAAGGGACTCCCTTAAATCTACTCTAACACAAAGAGTATTTTTAAATTGTCGACCAGTTTCTTTTGTCCATATTTTACATTTTTCATATTTTTACGCAAAGAAAATGTTTCTTTCAAATATACATTTTCAACTAAAGGTGTCTTTAAAAAAAAGAATTAACATTTCAGTATTTCATTGTTAAAGTAATCACTAATGCCGTAAACTATTTCATTGCTCAATTTTAAATGTGGCCATAAGGTGGTTCTGCTTCAACAATGTAGTACCTTTTTCTTAAGTAAATGCAATTTTAAGATCGACTTAAAATTTAACCCGACCTGATTGCAATGCTGTAAATTCTGTTTTCAAGCTTCTGGTAAAATTTTATGCCATTTTGGAATGGAGTAGCTATTATTCTGAAATGTAATTGGTCTTTTATGGAATCCTGATTCTTGTTCTCAGAGACTTATAAAATGTTAATTAGTGCAGCATATTTGTGCACCATTTACATGACAAATGAACAAAATGCATATGAAAATGGGGACCATATTCTGAACAACCTATACTGCCCCATATGATGTTATTTCATGTATTTCTTTTATAGGGGATACATTAATACCTTTATGGCAGTTCCAAAGCAGTGGGGTGTCCGATTGCCTTTGGGAATAGTTACATGCTCACAAATAAACATTTGACAAGTAATCTGAGGGCATGTGACTAGTCATAAATTCATTTTGTGTTGGGGGCCATTGTTGTAATCCCTGCACACGGATTTGATTGATCATTTGTATTGGTGGACTGAAGCCTTAGTGTGAGGACATATTTTGTTGGACCAAGTGTTGCACTGTAAGATATGTTGCATTTGATATAGTTAATTGTAATTGTTTATTTCCATGTGGATGGAGGTGCACTTTCTTATCATATCTGGGTGACTGCTGTGATGGTATACTTGCTTGTACTGCTTGATCTTTTGGTGCTTGTTTGTCTCACCATCTGTTAGAATAGCTGAGAAGTGTGGTGAGTGAGTTTCTTTGTCCTTGATGGTGGTAAGTTACCTTGGGGGTTCAACCGTGTACAAGTTGCTTGGCAGTTAAATGCCTTAGCACTATTGCAGTAGAGCTCCTGTGTGGTAGGTTTGCTTGTATGAACTGTGTTTTGTAATTGCTATGCCTAACAGCCAAATTCAAGTATTGCAGTTTTCATGCATGTGATAAAACTTTTCAGCTCTACTCTTATATGCTGTCGCGATAGGGAATTTTAAATTCTAAGTCGAAACTTCTACCGTATCTGAAATCAATCTATATGAAGAACATCATATCAATATCTTAATTGATTCAAAGGAAGGTTAAGTTAAATATTTATTTACAATATGTACAGTTAATTAGTTACTTAATCAACATACGAAAAATTCTACTAATCATGTAGTAGTAAGGATAGTAAGGAGTGTAAGTAAGGATATGGCTTAATGCGCCATTCCCGTCTAGCATCTAACATCTAACTGAATTCTACTTCAGGTGAGGGTGTTGCTATCACTGTATAACATCATATTTCTCTACATATGCGCCCTAAGATCACCAAATGTGGCGATATGTGTTCTGTGGTGGTTTTTGGCGCGATTCCGTGCTGTGGGATGATTTGGTGGACGATGCTGTTTGTATGGCAACCCTTTTTGACATTTAAACTTAACTTTTTTGCTGCAGTGGTATAATTGCTTATTTGTTCGTGTCGTGCGTGTTTTGAATGCTGCAATGAGAGACATGGTGGCAAGATTTCAGTTGCGTATTTTAGATTGTGTACAAAATAAATTTAGTATTAAATGGTACGATGTTGGAGTTGTAAACGAGTCTTTTGTTTATGTGTGTTTATGTGGATAGAAGTGCATTTTTGGAATTTCTGTGCGAGTCAGGACTTTTAAAAAGGAGTTTGGCATGTCTGAAATGCAGAGCTGATATGAGAACTCGGACGAAGAATGGGGTTTCTGATAGACTTGTATGAGTTTGCAGTCAAATGGTTGCTGGTAAATTATGTGGCTGTCACTGGAGTTTAGGATTTGGATCGTGGTTTTCGTGTAGTAAGTTAACTTTTGAAGAAGTTTTTATCGTTACTTTCGAAATTTTGAATCGCAGAAAAACCATGTGATATAGCAAAATCGGGGCACTTTTGTTCACAGACGTTATGTGACTGGCGAAATTTAATTCACATATGTATTAAGGTAATTGCATTTTATTTGTTGTTTTATTTGTAGAATATTATGTTCATTGTTTTGTACTATGAATTCTGTTGTTATTTGAATTTTTTGTAATTTATATTAGTTATTTTGTGATTTGTGCGCAATGCTAGATGTGAATTCGTAGAGGTTTTTTAGTTTAAACAGAATGCTGTGTATGGTATTTGAAATGTATGTTATGTTAATTTATTGAAGCGAGTGTGTGTAGTTTGTAGATTTACTTCGCGCCTAGATTGTGCATTTGTAGATGTTTTTAAGTTAAACCTATGCGTGTACAGGATCTTGTAAATATTTTTGTTAGAACTTTATGTTTGTATCTAAATTTTTTTTTGTTTTGGATTTTTAGCTTAAATTGTGTGTTCAAAACGTGGTTTTTGCATGTGCGAAAATGACATTTTTGGAGACATTTTAGGCTTAAATTTTGAAATGTAGACAAAAAATTTAGATAGTAATATGGCGCCGTGGAGTTTCTCGCAAAAAATATTTGGCGAGAAATTTGTTGCCAAGCGAGGGCGTATATAAGAGTAGTTCCAACTTTTCTATGAGCTTTATGAACAAAGGAATGTATACAGAGGTATAGTGAAAAGAGCAAAACCCAGCTTTTAAATTTACAACACATGATAAAATTGGTGAAAATTGCAGTGGTATGTGGAATATACGAATGTCGAAATGCTCCAAATATTGGTCATTAAAAGGTGAATATGTAAGTTGTAAGATGGTTGAAAATTATGTTATTGCACAGTTATTCTCATTTTAAAATTTAGAAATCGGAATGATTTTTAATTATTTTTTGAAAGTATTTCAGCCTTTTTGAAAAGAAATATCGGCTAATCTTTGGAATATGGTAGTTTGGCGACATTTTGGTAGGCGATAAAGGTTACTATCTAGGACTTTGGGAATAATGTGAGAAGTACTCAGTTCCGATTACGCATTATTTTGTGTGAGGAAAATGAGAGATCATGATATATGTCATGTGACATTTATGGCGAATCACAGTTCTTATCGGAAAAGGGGGTAAATTTGTAAAATATTGCCTACTTTATAGCATGAGGTTCTTTCTATGTTCTGTGAAAGTGTTGTTAATATTTGGATCCCATGGCCCTCTGTAAAGTAAATCTGAAATTTTTATTGGGTTTATGTGTAATCGAAAAGAATTGCTTGAATGGTGTATGAGTGTAGGATTAATTGCTGATCAGTATGAATGTCCAACATGTGGGAATGAAATAAGATTGTGTGAAAGGAAGGATATTACAGATAAGTTTAAATGGCGGTGCAAGAAATCTGGTGAAAATGGGCATTTTGTGAAACGGAGTGTAAGTAAGGGTACATGGTTTGCTGAAAGTCGTTTGAGTATGGGGGAAATTTTATTAATTCCTTATTGGTGGTTGAATAGACTGCGAGTTGACTACTGGATTATTTAATGCATAAGAAAAGTTTATCCGCCATGCAGTCAAGATTGTGAAGAAGATTAGGTAAGTTAGTATTTTTAATCATTTGAGGATATTATTTTTATGCATGCAAGGAATAAATAAATGTAAGGAATAAATAAATTAATATGGTATTATGGAAAATTGTTATAGCAATGAATTAGTTTAAAGTAATTAGGATTGTAAGCTAATTTTATTAATTAATGCATGTGCTTATTTATATTTTAAGTAGTGTTTTTTATTAATTAATTTTAATTTAATGATCGTGATTTGTGAATTTTATGGTTGTAGGAATTTGGAATACGTTTGAGTAGAAGTAAATGTGCATGGAAAGAATTTAAAATTGACAACTAAGTATTTGGAACCATTTTAATGTTTGCGTTATAAATTGCAGGTGACGTTTATAATAGATAATTTAGAGGGAAAAGTTTTTGGATATTTTATTTGTTTTATACATGCAAATGTTCATCCTTGGAAAGGGCATATACTTTTTTGTGATCTGGTAATTTCATATATGTCCTTTTTACCAAATTTAAAGATTCACAAAATTTTCCTGCATTTTTGTGAAATTTTTCTAATTTATGAGATAAAAGCAGTGTACATGGATAAAGTGAAGAGTGTGCGCAATGCCATTTTTGTGCAATTCTGGGATGATTTTTTTTAAGTAAAAATAAGTCGACGTGTACATGGTTAATGTGTATGTGCGATTCTGAAAAACGCGGCAAGGAGTTTGCGATTCTGCACTTTTTCCCAATTTTGCAGTTAATACTTGTCATGACTAAGTAGTTTTGTTCCATAAAATTTCTAGCATAAGTGTAATTTGGCTAGCAGATTGTTGGAAAAAGTGTTCAGTAAATAAAAAGAAAAGAAACATGTCTTTACTTCGTGAAGACAAAATGGCGCCGAAAAAAAAAAGTAGAAGGTTTGTGTAGCTGAGTTGGTCGCTAAATTTTCGCCAACAAATCGCCAAGTTACCATAATCCAGAGATCAACCGAAATATCTGAAATGCTCAAAACCTTTTAATTTTTAAAGTAATTTCGTAAAATGTATAAACTGAGTATTCCTTGATTTAGGCTGCTAATACTGATTATAGACTTTTTATCCTGTCTTTCATTTGTAAATAAGTAGTTATTATTACTATCTTGTATTACTTGAATATTATTTCATATTAAAATGAATTTGATTATGGTCCCCATGTCAATAGATGTTCTATTTCAGATTCATAAAATATGAGTGCAGGTAGCTTGGTACAGAAGATTTGTTCTTGTCTAGAAATATTAGTGGAAGTAAAGACAACAGGTAAGTTTTATTAAAAGTATTTTTCAAGCTCCTTGTGTGAATAATTAAAAATAAAGTAGAATTAATGATATCCAAAATATTGTAGATTTCCTTTACACATTTAAGCAACTTAAATGAAAATTTGTTAAAATTTAAAATTAAATAAAATGGCAACTTTATAGATTTTAAGGGAAATTATCTCGGTTTCAAAGGTGAAGAGGTACTGGTCCCTGACGAAGAAGGACCAGTACTGTTTGCTATTGACTATTTTTGCACTCGATTAATTTAAAGTTAAATGTAAATTCATTAATATATTTAGTTACTCATTTTTGATATTTTTATTGGTAAAGTAATTGTTTATAGCTGAAAATATTGTCATGAAATGCCCAGCCACGATAAGATAGCTTCCCTGCAAGGCAGGTTTTAGGGTTCCTATAAAATGGCAAAGCAAGGCAGGGTTGCCAGATGTGACGGAAATTGGCGGGATGCCATAGATGGATGGTGAACATTCTGGAACGAATTCTTGCTGGTTTGGCCCAAACTTGAAAGCAGCTCAAAAGCTATATAAAACCTGTCTGTATGCACAGTAGCAGTCGATCTCGAGTCTAGTGTGTGTCTCATCAGAATCTATAGAGTCACTTGCAAGTCTGTCGAGTGTCGAGTTGGTTGTCAACTGTATCGCGAGTTAGTGCATTGAGAATGTGTATCATTGATGCTATTGTCAGTCTATTGAGTTGATCATCAATGTAATGTCGAGTTGATCATCGGTGTAATGTCGAGTTGGTCGTTAAGTGCATCAAAAGACTCTCTTAATGTATCGTGAGTTAGTGCATCATCCAGTCTATTGTGATTGTGTCGTTGAGTTCATCGCGAGTTGTAGTGGGAAGTCTCAAGAGTACATTGAGTTCCGAGGACAACCTAACTGAGTTAGGAGCTGTACTCTAGTGCTTTGCCGTGAAGCTGTCTTCACTGTTATAGCCTGAAGGCTGTGTTGCTGCATGTTTATCATAGTTTTCCGACGATTGTAAACATGTTTTTGTAACTGTCTTGAGTAATACTGACAAATAAGTTGTATTTTGATACTTCATCAAGTGTTGTCGTGAATCGCTCCAAATCCATGAACCCGTACAGAAATGCAATTGTACGTTACTCAAGGGGGAAAAAAAGAATTGCAATGTTTATGCTAAGTACATAAAGAAAAGAATCACAATGTTTATGTTAACTACATACTGTGTAAAATTATTAACATGCAGTGCAAATGTTTAAAAATGAATAACAAATTTAATAATTGTGTCTAGTAATTGTAATTAAATCTTAATATGAATTTTTAAACTTAGATTTATAATTCACATCTTTTGGTAGATGTGGCTATGCAAATCAATTTTTTGGGGGGAGGAGGAGAAGGTGACTCATCATTCAGTTTTAACAAAATTTTGTGAGATAAACCATTTTCTAATTGAAATGATTATAATGAACCAAACTTTTAAGACCTTGTAATTGTTATAATGAAGGAGATTGAATATATATGTCTATGACAACAATTGTGAAAATGAAGGTAATGTAAGGACTTTATCTACACATTGTGTGTGTATATATGCATAGAAACACATGTACATACGTATCATACACTTAAAAATGTTACAGCTACTATTTAAAATTGCTTTTTATTCAAAAGATTTGGTTCTTTGTACAGTAATATGCTATGTGACTTTTTTTTTCTTTTTCTAGAGTCATCTGAACCAGTCAGAAATCTCTCAAAGAAAGAAATATTGTTTCATCAGTTGAAGAAAAATGTGCATTCAGCTTTTCAAAAATTAGAAATTTATGATGATTTAAAAACTGCTGTAAAGGAGTATATTCAACCTTGCCAAAAAAATAAATGCAAAACTTGTGATCACTTGGATTTTCTAGCTTTGTGTCTGGTGTTAATTAAATTGCTTAATGAGGCCCTTATTGCTGAAGAAACTGGGGATGTTGGTGTGAACAAAAGTAAACAAAAGTACTCAGTGCCTAAAGTTTTACTGAGTATATCACAGCTGAAAGTACTTAAAAAGTGTTTGCAGTTTGTTGTAGCACTGGGAATTTTGCCAAACTTGTTACGAGGTGTAGGTATACCATTGATAAAAAAATCAGAATATGGGAGTTTAGTAGAGCATCTATCATCTGATTGCACCCCTCATCAAAAACATGTGCAAATTGTCATCTGCGTGGAAACTCTACTGAATTGTCTTGATTGTGATGCTATACACAGTATCATTCTTACTTCTTATGGGTGTGATTTACTATCTGCTTTGTTTCAACTGTGCCATGCTCCTTTAAAAAAGATAGATGATAATGAGGTAAATATTGTTCTACAAACTAGTTAACAAAATCACATCAAAAGTTTAATATTAAATATTTACATACAAGTATTTTTAATTTCATGTAATGCAATGCCCGTGAATAAAATTAGTCTTTTTAATATATTTTTATTATTTGTTCATAAATATTCTATTTTAATTGCTTTATTTTTCTGCAGAATTAGTTGTATTTGAATTTTCTTAAATTACATGACTGCACATTACAACGTCTGAGATCCAGAATCATCTGAACTTTGGCATTAAAATTAAATTTAAATAGTTGTTTAAAAATTTATGAAATATTTATGACTAAGGGAATAAAAATTTAAGAAAATAGCTCAACAATTATTTATTTTATTATGCATTTCTTTCAGTGCAAGTTCTTTAAACCGTTTCGTTTTTTGGGATAATGCTTTCTGTTTAATTTTATAAAGAGACACTGTTTCTTGTTCAATTATATTGGTCAAGTGCTGTAATTATCTATCAAGAATATAAATTCTGACTGAGAACTCTCATTATGGCCGATGTCAATCAATGTATTGTCATTGGGCATGGTGCCATAACTTGACCAGCAGATGTTTAAAAATGACATGCAGGAATCTTGGTTAGGGGATAAAGAAAATCGTTTGTATCAGAGACATCTGCTTATTTTCGTGTGTATTCAAATTTTCCATTCCTAGCTTTGGAAGGAAAGCAATAAAAAAAAAAAAAAATTGCTGGTGGTCTGGATATTGGACTTTGTACTGTACTACTCTGATATTTTTATTTAAAAAGTTATGAAATTATACTGTTTTATTTATGATTAAAAAATCTATCCTTTTACTATACATATATCAAAAAGATAAAAAAAATTCATCCTTTTAGTTACATGTCCTAAAATGATAATTAAATATAGTATTTGTTTACTTAATCATTATATTTACAATTTTTTTTTTTCATAATTTTTGTTTGCATGTAGTGACTCTTCAGGGTGACCATTTATGGCTCCAAACAATATTAACCTTTTGTAGAGGTGATTGTCTTAGAGAACAGCTGTTGATTTCCATAGTGGATTTACTATATTTAAAGCTCTTTAGAGTTGTTTAAAGAGAAATACTGAAGTAAAATTGCAATCTATCAATTTCTGAATATCTTCATAATAATAATAAAATTAGGATGTGATTATAAAGATAAGTAGAAAATAATATAGCCAAAAGGAAAAAGTTATCTTATATCTGATGTTCTAAAATATTGTAATTGAATAATATTTTAAAATCTGAAAAAGAAATACTGTATCCCCCTTTTTTTTACTAATTTTATTGTGTGAAAATTGAGAGGGCAAAATTATGTATGTAATTTAATTTCTGAAAGATGTGGTTGCAATAAGAGCTTGACAAATGAAAAATATTCATGGATAAACTATTGGCAATTATGATAACATTATTTTGAAAATCCTTAGATTTTACTAAATGTGTACTAAAAGCCCGACTATCCAGCTTCAGCTAACAAAAAAGCTCAAATAACGGGAATATTTTCAAATTCTTTAACTTTTCCTAACATAAATGTAATCAAATGAGAAATTTATACCTCCGTTCAAATAAAAAAGCCTACCAAACTGTGATTTAACATCAGTAACAGAAAACGTGATGCAACACTGTATGTAAACCCGATTAATTCTTGATTACTTAGTTAATTAAAAAAAAAAAAGAGGACGTAAAAAAATGTAAGATGGATAAAAAAGGATGTAGGTTAATAACTATTTATTTGCATTTCAAGGCCATTTTTATAGGGATTGAAATTTGGATTTGTCTGTGAAAATAACAGCATCCAGTAGAAAATTTTCAAATTACAGGATCTTGGCATCAAGAAAAGTGTGATTTATGTGAAAATGTAAAAACAGTGACTGTGAAATGTGAAAAATTATGACAAGCAACTCAAGTTCTTTTGTATGATATGTCCATAACTTTATATTGATTATCTGTAAAATAAAGAGTGATCTGTTTCTTCAAACTTCTGCCAGAATGATTGGTATTAAGTTTGGTGAGATTGTCACTAATTTTCATGGCCAGTGGAATTTCATATTCACGTATGATGGTTTACTTCAATGTTATGTCTGAAATACCCTTTTTTCTTATGAAATCTGACATAATTTAAATGAAGACCTGATATTCAATTTGGCTTTTTACCACGAATTGCATATTTACAGGCTTAATTATCCAAAAAATTTTAGTATCCGTAATTCGGCATTTCTTGAGCTTTCCCGAATGAGCTTTCCTTTAATTCCTTGAGCTTTTTTTTAATGTTTTTTAACATTCAGTATCTAATAAGATGCCTTCATCTCTGCCTTCTGGATCTTGAAATTTATCCAATCTTGTTATCCAATTGTTTTGTTAAGTTATTTTAGAAACATTTAAACACTCACTCTTATTGAAATACAACATGACATATGTCAATCCGTTTTGCAACAGGTCATGACTAGCATCTTCGGTGATTTTTAATTGTTTTTCTAAATTTAATGCTTTCTTTTTCTTTTGCTGATATCTACCAGTAATCACTTAAGATATATAAAGTTTAAGATTTAAAAACATTGCCATATAAAACTGATTGTGTAATTTTGAAGTAAATACAATTCATTGCAATAAGAGCAAAGGAAAAGGGGAACCATCTAAAGGACCACTTGAAAATTTGTTGATTTGTTATATAAAAAGCTGCAGGAAGTGAAAAAAATGTGTAGAAAAAATTTAGGGGTGTGGTGAATCATTTAAGAAGTTATTCATAATCTGAATTTACCTAATATGATAAAGTACGTCATACTAAATGAATGTTTAACATCTGTTTACTATAAAAATAGTTTTATTAAGAACTGAAAATATTTAGTATGTGAACAGTTGTCTCAAGAAATGCATAGTGGCCTAGGTTTAATTAAGCTGTGGTTGTTCGTAGAAGATACTGTTATAGTTATCAAATATTTAGGGTCTCAGAAATTTTGGTCTTTTTCAGACATGCTCTTCAGAAATATTTTTTAAGTTGTTTTATAAAATGGGTTTGCCATTTATTTCTAGTAGTTGGGCAACTTATTACCATTTATTACTTATTACCATTATATTGCCATTTATTTCTAGTAGTTATGCCTCCATTTTGCCGGTGCAAATCTCCCCAAACAGACTTTATTGGCGACAACACACAGTATATGCATAAAAAATGTTAATAATGCTGCAAATCTCGCCAAGCAGACTTTATTGACGACAACACACAGTATACACATAAAAAAATGTTAGTCTAAGAATTGTTAACTTTGGAAGCATAAACATTTTAGGATCATTTAAAATTTTTTCAAATGGGTCTTTCGTTTCTCTTCTCCACATAAATACCGCAAGATGAGCAAAAGATGATGATGTGCCATTCCTCTGTTGTTTCTTATTTCACCATTTGGTGCTACCCCACAGCCTTTCTATTTTTTTGTGTGTGCCTGTCCTTTTTTTTTGTCCAAATCGACAAAATTGTATTTATGGTTGGTTCACTTTGAAATGTTCGAAATTTTCCTCTTCCAATTTTTCAGTGCTGTATAATTTCCACAAATCAAAATATATTATAATTCCTTTTTTGATATTTTCCTTAATTGCTTCAAATAATATAGTGCTCTTGGATTCGTTTGGCACCTTCACAAGGAATCATTTGTTTGTTTCATGACAAACTCCACCAAAGATCCATTGTTGTGGTAGTAATGGCCCACCAGCGACCGAGTGGTAACATTGCTAAACACTGATAGTTCGGTCTAAGGTACGAATGGGCTGGCTGCGTGGGTGTTCTCGTGGTCTTCCCCATGTGTAACTTGTATACAAGCCACTTTTTGTTGGAAAGACCTATATGAAAGCATCTCTTCTCTTAACCCTTTAACTATCAAGTTATTTTGATGATTTGGGTACACAAATTGTCAAATTTTTCCCAAGATACAGTCGGTTTGACAAAAAGATGAAGCCGAAATAAACGTCTCCCGATATATATTTGGGTATAACAATACGATGCACTCAAAAAAAAATTACCCTGAGTAATACTCGGGCGTGACATTATCGAAGTCCAGTGCTGTACCCGAGATTATCTCGGGCATGACAGTTAAAAGGTTAAGCAGATAGCCCTAGTGTGCTTTGCCATAATCTCAGTAAACCAAACCATTATTGTAGAATCCGTCCTACATTGTTTTTGCACTTCGTGAACATACTTTCATCCACTTCGATGATCATACCAGGTCCTCCTATTTTCCATTGTTGCCACTAAACAAAGGATCCACACAAACCTCGCGTATGTAGTTATTTCAATCCACAACTGTTCTGTGACTGATTTCCAACTGCCTTTCACACCATTTAACTAAATTCTTCGCTCCAAACGTAAATAAACCTGTACCCTTCAAGAAACTCGGTTTTCATGACTTAAACCATGTGCCTTTCCAGATACTTCATTAAATGCAACAAGTTGAAAGGTTGCGGTGCGACTGAATTTCGTCTCCGAAATAAAATTTCGTTTCATGAATATTATGACAAGTAGCAATATTGGGGAAAACACCTTTCGTTTGAAAGAATCTGACAGATTATTTCTCTGTTCTAAACAAAGTACCAAATTTTCATTGGTTTTTCATCCATTTTTGACATGTTTAGGGAAAAGACGTGACTAATTAGAAATGGCCACGACTTGTTTTGAAAATATGGCAGTAAAAAGGTTACCAGTGGGGATATTTCGTTTGGCGTCGGTAGTATAATTTTTGGTCACTTTATCGCCTGTGCTGGCAAAATGGAAAAGTACCATAAAATGATATATATTTTGCATCGGTAATATTAAAATAATAATAATAATAATATTTAATAAAGGCAAAGAAATGTCTTTTATGTCTGAATTTTATTAATATATGTTTATTTACATATTTTTATTTAGTATGAAGCTAAAAAGGTCGAATTAAAGAGAGATTTTGTTACAATGATTGGGTTGATAAAAGGTATGTAATTTTACTAAGATCCAATGCATTTTACTTTTGCCTTATAAAATGCTTTAAGCGGATAGTTTGAGTCACAGAGCATTAATTTGTACTGACATACTTTTTCTTTCATAGATAATTCATCCTATGATGATATGCAAGTCATTATTGAAAGGATACATGATCGTAATCATTTTACTCCTAGATTAGAAAAGTTGACGAAACTGTTTTGTCGATCTTCTCTGATGTGGGAATTATTTCTTCAGCTTGGATTTCCAGTAAAGGATGATGTATGTTTATTAGCAGTTAATAGTTTTACATTCAGTGAAATTTGAAATTTACACTGCTTATACCTGATACTTAGTTACATTCTTGTTGTGCTGTTTTATCACAAATTGTTTGTCCGTGGATACATATGATTTGTGAACAAACTAATAATGCTATATGTCCTGCAGAAAGTAAAAAAAGAATTTTAGACTTAAAAATTCAGTACTTTTCTGTAAATGGGATACTAGTCACCATATATGTAGCAAAGTGTCAAATGTAATAGTATTTAATGTGTGGTATGCCAAACTTTTGCAATTCTGATTTTATTAAATTAAAAACATCAAGGAATAAGTTCAGCATTGTACACAGCTTTGGTAATACAATCATCAAACATCTTATATTAGAAAAGGCTAATGTGTGTGCCTTGGATGCAGTCATCTTATGAAGGTCAAAGGAATTCTTTGCCGTCCTTTTCACTCACAATATGAAAGCATGGACAAAGCTTGCTATGGATATCTGCTCCAGCCTTTTAGTTTCTACTTATTAAAGAGCTCTCTTACTACTGCTTTTTATGGGAAAATCAAAGTTATTGCTGTGGCTATTCAACAACTGTCGATTCATATCCATTCTTTTGTAAAAGCAGTGATAGATTATCATAGCCAAACATAATTTCTTTCCAATGGATTCCAGCCCACTTTCGAATTATGAGTAATGAAAAAGCTATTACATTGGCTAAGAAAGGAACTTCGATAAAGCAACACATTAGTCAACCACTTTCGTTTTATGCAACTAAATTGTTTGTTAACCTGACTCTTAAGAAAATTCTTAAACAGGATATAATTCAACGGGCTATGGATAAGAGATGGAGGATTTTGGGGGAAGAGAGAACTAGTCCCTGTTTTCCGAGAAACACAGCGGTGGCTCTACTTAGACGTCTGACTGGACATGACTTTTTGTGAGACCACCTTTACAGAATTGGAGTGGTGAATTCCCCCTAACTGTGTTTTGTGTGACTCCAATCAGCCTATGATTTTTTAGCATTTAAATAATTGTATTGGGATTTCTCGGTATGAGGGTATTGTTAAAACGTACTGGCGAGCTTGGGAACTAATAGCTTAGGTGCTAATGTTTTGCATTTGGAAAATAAATAAATAAAAAAACGAATTTTTCTATTTGGTATATACTTACTCTATTACCCTGTTCGGTGAGCTCATTTATTTTATTCTTACATGTTGTTAAATTGTACATTTTTTGCATTAAAAGGAATTGAATTATGATGTTCTTATGTTCCAGTTCAGGTTTTAATGTCTTTAGTTAATCTGAATGCAATAGTTGTTATTATCAACAGTTTAAGTGGTGCTAAGCGTAGCAAGACCACTATTTAATAAAATTGTTAGTAGTGTAGTGAGTTAAGTAAGTTTGTGCACCAGCTTAAGTTTTTTTTGTCGAGTGGGACTCAAAATAAACTTTCAACTTTGCACACCGAAAAATCTGTCCTCCTGCGCCTTCTCCAAATTGCTTGTTTTTGCATAGAAACTTTTAATTTTAATTGTAAAAATTGTTTTTTTAACTTCTTTTAATTGTACTTGATGTTTTATGTTTTTCTGTACTTACAATTTTTAATGAAGATGCTTTGAGTTTTATGTATTTTTGCCTTGTGACAAATGAGAACTGAAATAATTAAACTAGAAATATATCTCTAATGAAATTCAAGGAAGTGAGTGCAAATGATATACAGCAAAAAATATGTATAGTTTGCTAAGCCATAGAAATATTTGTAGACTGAAAGATAAGATTACATCCTAGCATATAATATGGTTAGAGAGGCTACAAGTTCTTTAAAAGCCATTTCTAGAAACTTTGATTCAATGTTTAACGCATCAAAATCCTTTGCAATGGATTGCAATAATAAACTACAAAGGCTGGGTTGTGATATAATTATAGAAGAACTGCCTTTAGAAGAAGCCAAAAAGTGAAGCAAATGGACGACAAAAAATCGTCTGATAATAATTTCAAGTTTGAATTGTTTGATATGGCATATCAAACAATTCGAACTTACCATCTTTAATTGTATAATGCAGTATTCCTCAACCTTTTTATTACCGCGGACCGATCAACGTTTGATAATTATTGTACTGCAGGCTGTTAGGGGGGAGGTATGTTGATTGTTTATATTTTAGATTATTTTGATTTATTAATTTTAATTTTATTGTATTTAAACATGGCTTCCAAATAAAGTACAGTTACAGCAAAAAATAAATATAAAGTGATTTAACATTTTAACTTACTAGAATGTTAAATTAATGAACAATCTGAGCTTATTTCTTTGCATTGAGATGATTCCATCTGGGGGTAATCGGAGACAGTGACACCCAAAGTGTATTGCTTATGTCCAGTTTATTCCATTGCTTTGTTTTGATTGCTGTTACTGCAGAAAACCTCGCTTCACACAGATAGGCTTTAGGAAATGGCAATAGAGATTTAAGTGCTGTGGTGGTAATCTCAGGATATTATGCCAGGACTTAGAACACCTGCAGAGTTGTTGTCTCGAACGTAGTTTTAAGGCCGCCATCATTTGCAATCTCCAGCAGTTGATCTTTTTCTTGCACAGACATACTAGATTCGCCTGGTTTGTTGACAAATGGGTCTCAGATCCATTTCTTACCAGTTTGTGTGTCTTTTGTGGGAAGTAGAGCTCAAATTATTTTAAAAGCAAAGACAGGTGATCTTGCACTAACTGGAACTGGAAGAATGAATCTCTACGATAGTGACCACTTCCCAGTCATTGTAAATATTACAGGAAATTCAAAGATCTCAAGACAACCATGCTTACTTTACGATAAAGCTGATTGGGATCTTTTTGTATCTTGTGCTGTGTTGACTGAAGAAATTGTTAACGATGTGGACATTAATACAGCAGTTAAAATGATCTCTGATACTATTGTACAAGCAGCTGAACTCTGTATTCCGAAGTCCTTGACAAAGTTCCCTAAACCCTGGTGGAACAGTGATTGTTATGAAACTTTGAGAGAGCAAAAGAAAGCTTGGCGTATCTTTCGCTGATATCCAACACTGGAAAATCTTCTTGCCTTTAAAAAAGCTAAGGCGAATGCAAGAAAAGTGAGGTGGCAAAGTCAGAGAAAAATCATGAGCAGCCTACGTTCCACTATTACCTCCTCATTGTGTAGCAAATAGGTTTGGGAAAGAGTCTGCAAATCCTCTGGACTATATAATGATTATTCCTTTTCTGTTCTAGAAAAAGATGGAAAGTTGATAAGCACTAGAGAAGAAATAGCCGATGCTTTAGGTGAAACATTTGCTGCTGTATCTGGCAGTAGCAATTACTCAAAAGAGTTTCTGCCCACAAAGATGCTCTTGGAAAGGACTCAAATCAACTTTTCCCATCCTAATCCAGAATCTTATACAGTCAAAAGTCGTTAATCCGGACTCGTCGGGACTTCGGCAATTCCGAATTATCGATTTTTCGGATTATAGATCATCAGTTTAAATTTCGTAAGATGGCATGCAGAAATTCTAAAATTAAAAATATGAAACCGTAATTTATGAAATAAAGAACAATTATGATCTAAAGGGTATCAAAATTTACAAAAAAAAAAAAGCTTAATATTTATTTGTTTACTTTATTAAACATTTCTTTCAATGTAAGTTGCTTCGTTTTGTGTGATAATACTCTCTCTTTAATTCTATAAACAGACATAATTTCTTGTTCAGTTACAAAGTTTCGCTGTTCAAGTTCCGTTAATTGCTGTGCCAAGAATACCGACTAACTTGTCAATCGAAAATTTTTCGTTTTCATAAGTTCGTTTTCGTTTATAAGAGTTAAACACAGTTTTCACTAACCTCTCTGTCACATTCTTCATGTCTTTATCCATTTTTTTTTTGATGAACATCGAAACATACTTTCGTTTTGTATGATCCTTTGGGAGCTCCAGAATCGGAAATTCTATTTGACATAATCGAAAGTTCAAGTTTACTTTATAGTATTGCTCTTACAGTCTGCAAAAAATAATAAGCTGGATCCATTTCAAAAATTAAGGAACAACGCAATCATCAACATTAACTGAAATCGATAATTAGATAATTTTAGCTTATACCGTCTATTATATATAAAACGCGCATGCGAAAACGTATTCTGTGCTTGTGCTCACTCATATGCGCAGTCGTAAAAGGTCTTACACGCACGCATAAACACCTATGCGCATGTGTCAACGTGGCGCATGCATAGAAAGTTTATAGCTTTGAGGTCCGGATTATAGATCATTCCGAATTATGGGTGTCCGAATTAACGACTTTTGACTGTAATAAAGATCTCGCCATGTTTGAATTAAGAAGTGTAATATCTCGCACTGATAGGACTTATGGTGGTAACCTGGTCCTGATGGCATAAGTTATTTGATAATAAAGCACCTGCCCTATGAATCTCTAGTGGTCCTTCTTGCTCTTTATAATAAGATATGGAAGGAACAAATTTTTCCAACTGCCTGGTGCAGGGCCTTTGTTATCCTTATAGTAAAACCCGGCAAGGACCCGAAAATCCTTTAAATTATTGCTCCATCGCGCTCACTAGCTGCCTTTGCAAGATCATGGAAAAATGGTAAATCACCATCTCATCTACTATCTGGAGACTAATCATTGCCTATCGCCTTACCAAAGTGGTTTCCGTAAGAAAAGATCTTCACTTAACAATGTCCTGTTTTTAGATACTGTAGTACGCAATGCATTTGTGAAAAGAGATCATGTGGTTTCAATCTTCTTTGACATGGAAAAGGTGTACAATAGAACTTGGTGGCATGGAACTCTTCATGACCTTTACAGTACTGGATTACGAGATAATTTATCCATCTTCATTCAGAACTTTCTGAAGGACCGCACTTTCCGAGTCAAGATTGGTTCCTTGCTTTCTCAAGTATGTGTGAAAAAAAAAAAAAAAAGGTTTACCACAAGGTTTAGTGCTCAGTATCACTCTTTTCAGGCTGAAAATTAATTTCATTTTAAGAGAACT